CAACCAAACAGCAATAGATGGACATTTTCCTAACCTAATAAAATATATTATTGCAATCCAGAAGATAGCATCATCTTTAGTCCAGGGAATCACAAGAGATATTCCCAGAAATGTCAGGAAAATACGATGATGTCCATTATTTCCACTAATGTTTAACATTCTACTGGAGGTAGTGCCATATATTTAGACATGAAAAAAATTAGCAGCATAAAATTGAAAACAAAATTTATCACAATTATCAAATGATTTGACTAAATAAATAACATCTGAAATTTCAAGATTCAACTGAAAAGGTAATTGAGTAAGGTAGTATGGCCATTTTATGGAAATCAATACTTTCATATTTACAAATAGCAACCATTTAAGAAATCTAATGGAAAGATCCTTTGGACTACAGTAACAGAATAGGTAAACTAGCTAGGAAAAAGTATTTAATAAATGAGCAAAATCTTTTAGGAATACTTGAGTCCTGTATCAATTTTTTATAATTCTTTAGGCTTTATCACTTATTTTATTTAAAAATCATAAGTAATAATATGCAGATGAAGATAGAAAATAAAAATACATACATGAGAATTATTATGTGGACATAGTGGGTACTCTGATATTAAAAGAATGGAAAAATGATCTTGATTGAATGGCCTTATTTAAGAAAGCAAAAATCTTTTAAAACCAGTAGGGAGAATCAAGAAAAATTCCTGAAATTTAAGTAGCTGGGCTGCAAATTAGAAAGAAGATAATTTTCCTTATCTATGAAGCTTCAAGCTGTTTTGGTGGATTTTGCCATTTCAGTCTTGTCAATATCCTAATGTTTTGTTAACTGTGACTAGATTAAATTGATAGACAACATTATTAACTACTGTCATCTATTAAGTCATTGTCATGTACTAAGGCCCTGTTTTCCTAAAGATTTTACATATTTTTCTTCATTAGATTACTCAACATAAATACCAAGAGCCATTATTCCTTTCTGCAGAAAAGATACTTGAAGTTAAGAAGGTATATCTCTTGGCCAAGATTGTTTACATGATACAGGGCAAGGTCTGATTTCCAATCCGGATCTCAGCCTCACACAGCATACTTGTCTTCTTCCTACTTGAGAATGCTGCTTTCAATATTCGTCAACTTCCTATCACTCCTTCACACATTCACTTTTTTAAAATCAGGAGTTTAAAACTATCAGGGGCAATGGTGTTAACAAGAAGGTTTAAAAAAAAAAGATATAAAAGTTCTAGAAACTCTACAACCTTAATAGTAATTTCCCTGTAATTACAGTTCCTGCATCTTCCCAAAATAACAAAACAGGAAATTACACATTGACAACTTTAATCAATAAAAACAAAATTTAGAGCCCTTTAGTAGATACTGTATCCATGAAGTAATTGCATCTCTGTTGAGAGTCACTTTTTTTTTCCATAATATTTTGTTCTTAGGCCAATGCTGTTTATATTGGAAATATTACTGCTTATTTTAAACAAGTGATTTAAAAATCACCTTGCGCTTCCCCTTGTGAAAGACCAAATCCCCATCATATCAATAGCATCATATCTTAAACCAAAAGGAGCATTTTGGATTGGAGCCAAAAGCATCCTCCCAAGAAAAACTCTGATCAATTAGGAAATGATTATTTGTGCTTTTATATTTTTCTTGTACCAAATTATCTTAGATGGAGCTGAACTCTGTTAAGCATTTACAGACTATGTTTATAGGTAGTGTTTAATATGCAATAATATTTGATTTGTTTTTTTATTCTCCTCAGCCCCTTTAACCTCTAAACTGTAATGACTTCCATATGACTAGCCAAGTCTATTTTTAGATTGTTAATTACCCATCCCTATTTTTAGATCTCTTCTTTCTTTTAGTTGCTGATTATTATAAGATCTAAAGTGCCTTCTCAAATTTTAACAATGTTGTTTTTCTGCCAGATTAGAGGCCAGTTCTGTCGCCGAATACTAGTTTCTCTCCCCAATACCAACTTCTCCTACTTTTATTTTTCTCCCAACAAATCAGTTAGGACAATATAATTCAATATATTTGTCAAAGAGCACTAAGTTATTTAATATTTTAGATAAATATCAACCTAGATACACATTTTCAAAGGGATTTTGGCCATGTGGCTACCATTAAGTTAAAGAACAGTTAAACTGCCTATTATAATACTTTGTGAAATTTGGGTTGAAAATCAAGTTTTGCACATGTAAAACAACCTATTTAGGATTCTCATTTCTTACCCTAAAGATATTTTTCTTATTTTATTTATTTTTTTAAATTTTTATTTATTTATGATAGTCACAGAGAGAGAGAGAGAGAGAGAGAGGCAGAGACACAGGCAGAGGGAGAAGCAGGCTCCATGCACCGGGAGCCCGATGTGGGACCTGATCCCGGGTCTCCAGGATCGCACCCTGGGCCAAAGGCAGGTGCCATACCGCTGCACCACCCAGGGATCCCTTTTCTTATTTTAGAATACAAATGTGCAGCAAGAGTTACATTTGAGAAAAATAAGGTGCATCAATTTCAGTCTTTAGAGACTATGGCTCTTGCCTTTGAAAATGCCCAAATATAGTAACATCCCAAATTGGTGAGTTTTAATCTATTCTTCATCACATGAAATTGTCAGGTTGTTTTCTTTCCCTTTCTTACTGTTTGTGTGAGTATATGTGTGTGTGTGTTTAAAGAACAACAGAAAAAAAAAAAAGGACAACAGAGATTAAAACACCAGGGATTCATGCAAATAGCTAAGGTTGAAATTCTTAGAAGAATTTCTTCTTTCACATGCCTATTACATATAGTAATTTAAAAGTCACACACACCAAAAAAAAGTCACCAAAATTTTGTTCTGTGAACTATGCTGTATCCCAAACAAGTAGTTTTTAGAATTAGTCTAAACCCAGGTAGGAAAATAAACAAACAAACAAACAAACAAACCCAGGTAGGAATACAGCAAGGAAGGATTTTAGGGCTCTGCCCTAAATCCATTCTATGTTACTTTGCAACCTTAAATCTCTCTGTTGTCAAAGCGGATTCCAACAGTCTATCTAGAGTTTGTTCTGTTTATGGAGGGCTGGAGGAGTAGAGGTATGCATTGGGAACAACTGTGAAGGTGGAGAATTAGGCACCACTGTGGTTTATAAAACACTTTTGCTGACTGTTTTTGTCATTGCATTTGAGAGTTTAAGCTAAATACCGTATCCCTTGAAGTGTGAAGGTAATTCACCAGACTCTTCCACAAGAATGAAGTGCATGAAAATGTTTCATAAACTCTATAGAACTCACGAATCGGAAGAATTACTTTTAGATCCTTTAGTGGTATAAGAATTCAGAATTTCAGTACATTGACACAGGATAGTTAGATATAAAGACATTAACATGGCCAAGTGTTGAAACAAAACTATTTGTTCCTGTAATTGGCTAATTCATCCTTGGTCTTTAGAGAAATATGCCTCAATAGAACAAAATAATCATATGTCTATCCTCTTTATAAAATATTAATCCCATAGGAGGATACCTGTTTGAGAAAGGAATTGAGTGGTCACATGATCTTATGTGCCCTATGTGGCAAACTTCCGGTGGCATGGACTACAAAATAAATCTTAAATGTTTCTTTTAAAAACATTCCCCGTATAAGTCTTCATACAAAACAGCATATAACACACACAACAAGATCACAAGTTACATGTCATCTGGCAAAACCATCTTTCCAGGACTGATCTGAATTAAAACTTGCTAAGGCAATAATGTAAAAAAAGAAGCAAAGCAGACGAGGATTTGAGAAATCTATCTTTGTTGTTTGACATTGATATGGGGAAAACAGGCCTCATTTTATGAATTTAAGATTTCCAGTGAGAAATGTATACAGAGTAAAATATTAATTATAATATCTTACTAAAAATGAAAATTTAAATCTTTATGACAAAATTCCTAGGAGGTGATATAAATACCAACAAGGAAGGTTAGTATTGTAAACCTATACTATATTCCCCTTAAAAAAAAACAATAAATATGAAAAACAGTGCGTTTAAATGTAAATCTAATTTGTGAGAACAAAATATATAAATATCTTTCTTAGATTTTAGTTTCTCTGTCAATGCAACAAATATAAAGATCCATTTCATTTTGACTGAACAGAGCATGATTTCTCATGCTAATCAGCTTCACTGTCACGTATATTTTCTGTCAATGTCCCACTGTGTGAAATCCCCAGTTAGAGGAATATTACTTTATACATCTACTCATTGAGAAAACATTTAGTAATATTCCATGATCCAGTAATCAACATAAGTGCTTCCTTTTGCCTACCAGGAATCATTAGAGGAATTCAGACAATTTTTTTTTTTTTAAAGATTAGGGAAGCTTTTGGAGCAACATAGTGCTTCTTTTTTTTTTTTAAACATTTTTTTATTTATTTATGATAGTCCATAGAGAGAGAGAGAGAGAGAGAGAGGCAGAAACATAGGCAGAGGGAGAAGCAGGCTCCATGCACTGGGAGCCTGATGTGGGATTCGATCCTGGGTCTCCAGGATCGCGCCCTGGGCCAAAGGCAGGCGCCAAACTGCTGCACCACCCAGGGATCCCAACATACTGCTTCTATTAAGAAATAAAGGAATACTGTAGAATCACACAAATAATTACATCAGCAACCATTACTTGAGCAACTTCTACATCCTTAATACTTTATCAAAATTTCTAATGCTCAAAAAAATCTGTAGATATGTATTATTTCCTTTACAGTAATAACACTAATGTGTAGGATTTGTCCAGAATAGGACAATGACAGGATTTGAACTTAGGACTATTTGTCTTCAAGTCTGTGCTTTTTCTATTACACAACACTATTTCTGTAAAGATAAATGTGTTATATTTTACTGGTCATATGCTCTATATTACTCTATTAGGTGCTTTAATGATTTTATCTCATTTAATCCTTCTAATAACCCTGTGAATTAGGAATAACCCTGTGAGTTAGGAAGGAACTATTACCATCATGTCCATATTTATTACAGGTGATGAAACAGAAGCATAAAGACATGGCCCAAGGTCATATAGGAAGAAGGGAAGAAAGGATTATAAGGGCATCTGACTATGAAATCCTCTGTTATACTATTGCCTTTCCAACAACGGACATGCTAAAACTGACAACATGATGGTAATTTCCAGTATGAGGTTGGAAGTGTGATTTTGGTGTGCTAAATGATCTTACAAGAACTCATCTTTCCTGTCTCCAAGAGGAGCAGCACATCTACTGTTTGTCATATCAAACCCAAATGCACCTATCTGGTGTGCAAGATATGCTGCCATGCCCACACCCCACACCCAATCCTATTATCAGCATCATTTCCCAAGAATTTCCAAAGATCCAGTCTATGGAATATCAATGTGCCTCAAGATTGACCAGTGTCCTAGGAGCAAAAGATTTCACTCACAGTTTGGCAAAAGCTCAGTTCCACAAACTTTTTTGGGGGGGGGGGCTGAAGGGGTTGTTTTATTTTTTATAGACAGCAGTATTTCTTAGGAATCTTTAATCCAATGTGTGCTCTAAACCTCTGAATTCTAGAAGTAATCTGCAAATTTCTCAAATTTATTTAATATGCAAATTTTATGTGTGGTGGAACATCTATCAACCCTTCACAGGATATTAATTTCTGCAGGGAAATCTGCTGTGTCCACTTACCTATTCATGCTCTGGAACCCCCAAGCATGTTCTTTCTCTTTCTCTTTCGTCTTCTCTTTCTTTCTCTCCCCCTCCCTCTCTCCCCATTCTCTGTCCATGGAATGCCTTTCTCTTTTCTGTCAACCCAGGGCTTTCAGCCCTTACCAAATCTCACTCAAAAGATCTCCTAGAGAACACCTTCTCTGATATGCTGTATGTCTTGGCTCCCTGTTTGATTCCCAGAACACCCAGATTTTTTCTGTAAGAGGTTATTTATAGTGTTTTGTGACTAATGCAGGTATAAACATCTTTAACCAAAGTAATTTTATATGAATTTAAGAAATATCATTTGGTTTAAGACACACACACACACACACACACACACACAATTTGCTATGCCTCTATAGTGAAATATCCAAAGAGGGTAAACACTAGACTTCAGGTTCTTTCATGGGAGTGACGTGTTCTCTTCCAAAGTTGTATCCTTAGGCTCTAACAGAGAGCTTGCCATAAAAAGGGGTGACCATATTTGCCCCAACTTTGTAAAGCAAACTTATTTTTTAGGAGAAATAAAACTATACTATGTAACTATGATATGAGGCAGCAAGTCATATTAGAAGAGAGATCTGTATCAAGGTCTTTGCTTTATTTTGCATTATATTGTGTTATTTTAGACTAGGTTCCCCTAGAAAGCAGAGCCTGAGACAGAGCCTGTGTGCAAATAGTTTATTTGGGGAAATGATACCAAGCAGAAAACTGGGAAATCTCAATACAAAGTGCACTGGTCATCAGTCTGACCACCTGGGGCTCAACTCCCCTGGAAAATGTTGAAGAGCCCTGTAGAATGAACTTCAGAATTATCTGCCTTAGGGAACTACTAGCTCTTTGTCTGCCACTGGCTAGGAGTTGCCTATGGCTTATAACCCTCTGGCACTTCCAGGAAATGCACATTTTGAGTAACCTGAGGTACTTGTCCCACAGCAGAAAGAAATATGTGATGCAGCTGAGGTGAACACCATCATATTAAACCTGCATAAAGGCAGATGCTTCAGAAATGATCAAAGAAAAAGATGGTAGGGGGTATGAGGGAAGGCCCAAGGGATAGGTAGGTGGGTTTGTGTCTGGTCCACTTTCACTCAATAGAGTACGGCCCCTTTGCCAGGCCTGTCTCCATAATGGCAAGGGCAGGAGGAAGAGTCTTAACTAGAAATGTGGAGGTAGAAGAGCTTTGGCTGAAAGCCTCTGAGAAAGAGAAACATTATTTCAGAATAACATTTGGCAAAGAATTTTGCCAAACAAGCTGGCAGATGCAAATATTTATGTATCATTTATTCTATTTTCTGTAACAGCCAACATAGTTTTACAAAAAAAAAAAAAAAGTATGACTTGCTATTTTATGGCCAAGAGAGCAAATGCAGCCCTCATGCACATTTGTAGAAAATTACAGACATCAATTAGCTTTTTCAAAGCACAGAAAACATAAGTTTACCTACCAAAGTACCTCAGCAAATGTGGAAATTACCATGAACTCAGTTACTTAACACAGATTCTTATCTTAACAAAGAAGGAAAGAGCAGACACTTCTGTCTTAAGTTTAGATTCTCTCTAGGTGCTACAAAATACCTGGTATGTAGTAAGAGTTTTGAAATGGCAAAGTGTGTAGTTTCAATGGAATCAAATGATAAATTGTCTCCCCATCCATATCTCCAAGGGAGAAAGACAGGAAAACATGGATTTTTTCCATTTAAAAGATATGAGAAAATGAGAGAAAAATACTCAAGGAGAGAAACATCAGAGAAACAGATCAGAGCTTGCAAGGACCCAAAAGTTAGAAAGAAAAGAAAACTTACTGCTTATCCTTAATCACAAGTGACTTATTTAAATAGACAAAATGACAGGCTGACCTCCATCTATTTTAACTGCCAAATCCTATCAGCAGGGTGTGATTACCTCCCAAGACCACCTTCTGAGGGCAGGGGGGGGGGGGGGGGGGTTCTCAAGCCTGCCCTGAGAATCTCTGAAATTCCTTCCTCCATCCAGAAATCCGGAATTCTTCTAAGGAAACATTTGTGGCCATTAAACCAATTGGAGTTGAACCCATGTCCTAGAGGTTGACAGGACAATTTATTAATATGCTATATAACCACGTCTGGATTTTAAAAAGATATCACATTGACTTTTTTCCCTTCTTTTTTTTTTTAAAGTTTTACAAGATGCTAGTATCCTCAAGATCTATATCTGAAGGAAGAGAAATAGCAGTTTCTGGCCTAGGATTTCCTGTTATTAATTTAAAGAAACTCATATTTTATTTCAAAAATAGAATTAGAAGGAATTAAGCCCCAGGAAAAGTTAACTAAAATTATGTCCCATGAGTTAAAAGGAGACCTAGAAACTAGTATAAAACAGCAAACATACTTTCTGCAACTATATAACTAAAAAGAGTTAAATGAGATTATTCCTTCCAAAAAAGCCACAATCTTGTATGCCAGTCTTTTAGACTCAGATAAGTAAATAATTAAACTTTTGAGTTTGCATTTGCCTGCTTAATGGAATAGTTTTCCAGGTAAAACGAACTATATACATGTTTGTATTTCTTATCTGAGAAAATTTATTGTATTACCTCATTTTCCCAAAAATTAGAATTGGGAAGGTAGATATATATATCTGTAGAGAATTAAGAAGTAAATAAACCTGCTACTCACTGAATATTCAAAATTTTGTTCTATGCACTCAGCCTCAGCAATTCCCAGTATAAAATATAAACCATGGCAAATGAATGTATTTACTAATGCAAAATCTTAAAGACATAGAACTTTTCATATCTAAGAAGTGTTTTGAATTAAATTATCAAGAAGCTTGCTCTGAATCTCAGAAATCATTTTCTAAATCATTCAAATATAGATGTGTAAACTTTTTCCTGTAAATACAATTCTGGGATTCCCAAGCATTAATTGGATAATTGAAATCTCCTAAATTTGTGACTCTGGCTATCCTTTATGTTTCCAGCTGTTCTCTAGAGCAAGGAAAAGCTCTCAGGCTGTGATATAATGCCACTCTATTGCTTTAGTCTTGCCTAAAATATATTACCCATGGACCATCATGATTTTTCCCTTAAGCATACAATTTAGCATTCCAGGCATTAATCTCTGTTGGATTAACAAAGAAAACACTTCATATTAAAGCAATGAAAAGTTGTTTATGTTCAAAATGATGAAAAGGAAATTCTGCAATATTTTAACTTTCTATGTCCCTGGTGAATAAAGAAAACATCCCAAGATAAAATGACATTTCAATTATCCTAAGTAAAAAGAGAGAAGGACACACACACACACACACACACACACACACACACACACGGAAACCACAATATATCCTATGTGGACCTGAGGGTTTTTTCTTTGTTCTTTTTAGTTCAAGATGAAACAGCTGTTCATTGTTTAAAATAGAATTTCACATTTAGCTCTTTTTCGCGTCAAAAGGAAGCCATCTTATCCTTCCAGTTTGCTAACATTAGAGAGGAGTAAACACTCATTTCCTACATATATTATTTATAATGCAGACTTGTGAACTTTCGCATCCAGCATCAGACTGACCCCTCTCCCACTAGGTTTTGAACCTTCCTTCCCCTGACCCCATAACAGAGTAGAGTAACCTGAAGGTCATCTTTTCCTTTAATTCATTTTTTTAACACATGTTTCCTCATTGCAATCCGGCAGCTCTGACTAATCCAAGGGTTACTCCTATAAAAGGTGGAGATGGCAGTTATTTTATGACATTATATCAGTAGGCTGATATGAGTGTCTCAAAAGAAACTTCTTAATGGCAGTTAAATCTTTACAAGGGTTTCATATTTCCACTCCTTCGCTCAGAAGCCCAGATTTTTGTAAGTACCTGCCAATTCTATTTGAAAACTACATCTTCATTCCTTGAAACACACACACACACACACACACACACACACACACACACACACACACACGCAAACCACTTTTATAACTAGCAGTTCTCAAGATGTTTAAGGTAGCCTGAAACATGCTCACAGAGCCTTAAAGTGAAAATGCAGAAAGATATATCTCTTTCAAAGGGGTATTTTAAAATAAATCCTCTGCTTTAATTTAGGGAAGTTTTTGAAACCTGTAACACTAAAACTGAATGGTCCACTTAGGTTCAATGCAAGCTCCACTCTGCCCAACTCCTTTACTGATAAAAAAGTTAACTGCCTGTTAAATTCAAATGCCAAAAATTCCTAAAATATAGTTAGCAGTTAATAAGGAGAAATCTAGACATTTTTCTTCTTACATATTCAAATGGTATTGCAGAAAGACTATAAAGGCACTGTTATATTGTGCTTTTCTAGAAATACAAATAGTTTCAAGATTTGTATCCAAATTGTAAAATCCTTTTAATGAAACATAAAAGCTAGAAAATAATCATACAATTCAAAGAATAAAATTTAAAATTGGCTAATCCCATTCCATCAATTTACAGAGAAGGAAACTGAGGGCCAGGATTAAAGGCCTGGTCCACCGTACATTAATAAGATTTTGTTGTTTGTGGAATGAATTATGTGACTGCTCTATCACTTTGTTGAACAGAGAGAGCCTAGGACATTGGAAATAAGCCAGCATAATCAGAATAGTTGATTCAATTTTTAAAAAATTAACATTGAAATTGAACCAACAGTTATTTGTCCTAGGCTAGTTAAAACCAAAACAGCTAAATCATGAGGGTTTTTTGTTTTTGTTTTCCAATTCGTTATTCTGCTTCATAGAAGATGCCTTCAAACTTCAGACAATTTTCCCAACATATGAAAGGGTAAGATTTTGTCCATTATTCCATATTTCCTGCCTGCTTTTGAATATTTATTCATTCAAATGTAGCTTTCATATTCTCTAAGCTCCTCTGTGAAGCCACTTCTTTTCACAAGTGATCTGAATTTTATCTCCAGTCATTTTAGAAGTTTGTAAAACATGAATATAATAATAGTCAAAAGAGAATGGGAAATTCATTTCAAAAGGGATTTGTAACCTTTCCCTTTTCCCCATGTCTAAATACCACTGTTCACTTCTGGCTACTAGTGCTGGGCATTTATTCTCTATTTCTCATTTTGCCCACTAAGAAAATGGGGAAGAATCTAAAAGAATGGGCCATGTCTGAGATCTGACTGGTTCCCACCCTACGGAGACCCTGTCCCGCCCACGCAAGTGGCACTCCATAACCTTATTTCCACTGACATTTTTTTTTTTTGCATCTTAGAAAAACTGGGCACTAGGAAGTATGTACTCCCCCAGGATCTTGAATTTACCCAATCAGACCTTACTCAGCAGCTCAGTGTCTTAACGACCCTGGCAAAATGACATGGGTCATATTTTCACATGGATGAACTATTCCTGAACAATTTCTCCAGTGTGTGAGGCACAAACAGGCTTTTCTTCAATATCAGGCATGCATGTCTTCCCCGCCTCTTGCTTTTTAACAAACATATGTATTGTGACCAGTGCAAAAGAAATTCTATTCTCCATTAATGTTTGAGTTTCTTTCCTACTCACCCCCTTTTCCTACCCCCCTTCAGATGTCTCTCTCGACATTTCAAGATATCAAAAAAGTGCAGGACCTCTGTCTAGAGTTTTTTTTTTTCTTTTTTGCCTGTAGAAATAGAAACTATGTGGCTAATTCATTTTCCCTGTACTCTTTCTACATAGGAATTTGGGGCAAGAAGTATCAATTTCCACAGTCATTTTAGCACTTAAAAACCTGCATCTTCTTCCTCCTTGGAACTGATCATAGCTGTTAGGGGCCACTCTATTTCATGAGATGCCAAGTTTGGGACTGGAAATGGATCCATTATAAATTAAAATTTTAAATATAACTATACCATAATCATTGTTAGTTATGATTTCAAAAAAGAATGGCATCCCCAAATATCTGTATCTGCCACATGGTATCTATGTAATACCACATCTTATATTGCACTATTGTACACAGTAGATAATCCATAAATTTTGTTGAATGAATGAAGAAGTGAATGAGGAATCAGAGGAGTAAGAATTCCATTTTTTCCTACTCTTTTCTTTTAATTGTACCCCCTAATTATTCCTTAAAAAAATCACTATACCTGTAAGACATCCCTTCCTGAGGAAAAAAAAAAAGTTTACTTCATTAAAGATAGTGTAAAATATATCCCATGGAATCAAATTGTTTATTCTTAAAAGCATTGAAGAAGACAATTTTTCCATGATATCACACAGACAATATGTTTCAAAACGTCATGAATCAGGAATTGAGTTACAGGTACTTGATAGTTCAACTTGGCTGTCATTCAGTAGCTCTGTTCACAGACTTTGATCTTGAGAGTCCTCCTAATGTCAATAATAGGAAACTGGGTCCACAGAATCATTTATATGAATGGAAGAAGAAGATAGTCATCAATTGATTAAGAAGTTATTAATTCCTTCTCCAAAGGTAATTTTTATGAAAAGATTGAAGGATCACATAGGCTCATTTCTGAGAAAGAAATTACAAAGTGGAAATCCAAGTGATGATATAGAAATTTTCAAGAAATCTATTTCCTTCCTTTGTGGATATACTACACTCATCAGTGTGTTCTGTTTGAATTGTGTCTGGAGCTGATTTTCTGAATACAGGCATGCATCTGTTTTGAAACAATCCCCTGATAGGTTTCCCATCATCAGTTTAATGACCCAAATTTTATGACTCTCCCGGGCCCTTGAACATTGGGAGGTACTTTAATATCAGTTGTGTAAAAGAAGAAAAGATCACATTTCTGCTGGCTCAAAAAAAGAAATGCCTTAATAGCATATCCTGTTTTCTTAATACCAATCCTATCAATGACAGACTTTAGAGTTTTCCAGAAAAAAAAGTGTGAGTACAATCTAATTCTTCCTCAGTGATAAAAACAAAATGATAACTGGACACCAAGGTAATTACTGGACTATTCAAGAAGCCAATGAATTCTTGCCCACATTTTTCAGAACAAAGGGGTATAGTCTGTCTGGGGAACCATGTGAAATAATCCAAGAATTTTTAAGGTGCCTACCCTGAAAAGCAGGTGAAGATAAAGTCCATTTCAATGTTTATTCAGTTCTAGTAGTTTATTAATGCTTCCTTTTACTAATAACATTAATTTAAGGCTCAAATCCACTCATCCAGGTAGTTCTAGATTGTCATAGGAGTTCAAAAGTTAATGTGATAGTAACAACTGCTTACCCATATCTCTTAACTCTTATCTCTTATCATATGGCCAGAAGGTTCACAACTGAATTAATGAAACTATGTAGCAGTAGTTTTATAAGTGTAACAAAAGATCCTAAAGGATGGTACAACAGGTATCTTGTTTTACCCTGCAAACCACCCCTCCACAGACATCAACCACAAAATATCTTCAGAGCCCCCCTTGTCAAGTGACAGAAATTGCTCACTGCCTGAGATCACCATCATCCAGTTCTCTAACATCTCCACATAGAAAATCATACAGTGGCTTTCTAGAATTTTGGCTAAACATGGTTGGCAAAATGGCCACATTCTACAGAAGTCACTGAGAAGCAGGACAAGGTAAACAGGTGCTTGAGCCCTTCTTCTGTAATTCCTGCAGGCAGGCTTCTGCTGGGATGGCAGAAAACTAAGAAGCCTCTCTTGAGAAAGTCACCCTCTGGTCCTGTCTCCTTATCTATAAAATGATGACTATTAGGTTATTAAATCAGAGCAGCTTATGCATAGAGTCATCAGCAACAGGAATTTGTCAACCATACAGTTAGTTTCATTTCCTCTCAAGAGTCATGAAAGGTATCCATCAAACAAATCTGGAAAATAATCTGGCTGAATTCTTAAAAACACTGACTACCTTAAACATTTTTTCAAGCCTTGTTTATTTAAAGTCATCTACTGAGATATTCCAGCATAATATATCTGTTAATTTAAAAAAGAAAACACAAACCTTAGAAATTCCTTTTTCAGGTATCACTGATTCTTTTCAATATACACTTATTGGTCAGTCTTCAAATATGGATTTGGCCTTTGGAAGTGGCCAAACATCATTAAGTATTAATCGTGTAAATAGGGTGGGTGGTGAAAGTGGGCAGTGCAAATTTAGATCAAAAATGAAGTGTGACTATAAATATAACAAGACTGCTTTTCCTCTGCCAATCACAAGCCAAGCCTGGGGGCAATTCCAAGGTTGAAGCTATGGATGAGAGGGTGATCTGACAGGGACAGCTGTCATCAGTCATCCTGTTGACCTTTGAGGTTAATTCACCTGATCTGGCTGGCTGACTAAGGGTCATCTCCACTCGCCCTCACTACCCCATGGGCATCCCTTTTGAAACTCCTTAAATGATTATTAAAAAAAAAAAAGGAAAAGAGAGCCTTTCATCAGTAATAACAATTAATGCTTTCAACAAATGTTTATTGAACTTCTTCTACATATTAAACATTGTCTAAATAGGCTGATAAACAACATGGATGAAAATCCTATGCCCTAGGTAAGGACATAGAGAATAAAAAGGAAAAAAATCAACAGAAATTTCAAATGGCAAATACGTGTAATGAAAAATATGGAGACATCAGATAAAGAAAGACATCACATTAGGAGATTCAAACAGGCCTTTCTCCAATAAGGCGACATTTCTACTAAGATCTGAATGATTAAAAGGTACCAGCTAAAGGAAGTCATTGGGAGGATTTCCAGGCTGCAGGAATGGTAAACCAAGTTCTAAGATAGGAGATAAGCCAGGTGATTTCTTTGGACTTCATGATCAAGTACCATGTGCCTGAGTATAATGAGCAAGGCCTATTATACATCCAAGTAATTGTATTCTTCTGCCACAAGCATCACATCACTGGCATTCTCAAAACATTTTGACAAAAAACAGCATCTGAGCAATAGATATGAATTTTCCAAAGGTGAACACCTGGAAAGACACAGTACTAGCTTGTTTTGAAATGATCTCAGATGTTAGAATTAAAACAAGATATGCCCTTAGAATCACACCAATGGAAATTTAACACATTTTTAAAGAAGATGACAGTGGCCAGTATTTAATTTGGGATTTTTTTTCTAGGCCTAAACATTACTTCCTGCTCAGGCAAGCTTGAGAAGATGGGATCAAGGGAGTTTTGTGGTCCACTGAGCAAAGGATGGGAAAATCAGAAAGATTCTGAGTTATAATCCCAGTTGAGCTACCAGGTGACCTTTAGGCAAGCCATTCGACCTCCCTGTGCCTCATGCTCCCAGCTGGAAAATTGGATAAGACCAGCAGGATATCACTGAAAACCAGATGCTGTACAGAACCCAAGCTTTCCCAGCTAAATAAATTACCACTAAAGAGATGGGGGGGGGGGGTGGAAATCCAATATATCAGCCCATGTGAAATGCCCAATTAATAATATTTGGTCCCTCTTTATATATAAAAGTTATTGATTTCTCCCGTATTTGTTAAATCAAATTAATAAAATGAGTGATTCAAATGAGAACACTATTTCCTGAGATACTTAGAAGTGTCACTCTAGCTTACGTTTACTTTGCCATAGCATACTTGCAGGTTAATAATTGTTACAATCCCAGTCTTGCCTCATTACACCTTCCCATGACAAGTCACGCCAGTGTCAATGACACACAGCTAGAACAACAAAGAGAAGGCCGAAATAGGAGTTTATTTCCCCATTTTTCAAACAAAATAAACTTGCAGTTTCTATGTGAAACAGAACAACGATGTTTTGTTAAGTATTAATGAGGTATTTAAATGGAGAGCAAAATGTCTATCATTCATTAAATGTTTTGTCTATATCAATAATGAGTAATATTGTGCTTACAAAGACCAATTCAGGAAACACAAAAGTATTTAAAACTAGGATTTTTATCAATTTAAATCAAAACCCCTCTATTAAGTCCCATGGGAAAAACTATGTACATGTATATATTCATTCAAATTAAATTATTTACTGCATGAAGAATACTGATATAGAAACTGATCTATGATAAAGTTAATATTTGAAAGTATTTGAAAAGCAACTGATTCTGTAACTTGAAATTGGACCGCAGGTGGTAACACAGACTTCAGGCATCATCTGCAGGCAAACCTGCTCAACACAGGTGTATATCATTCCAAACATCTGCATGTTTATGAATATCTAGATTTCTGGTTTAATTTTTCCTTTTCCACTTGGATATTTTTGATGTCATGTGAACATACATAGAAAGGAAATTAATTGAGCAAACTAAAGATATTAAAAGTATTACTGCAGGTTCCAGCATTTGCCTAACATTACACTAAAGGATTCTATACATAGAATGTATGTGGAATGAAAAAGCAATTTAAGTGCTCTCCTCTCTCCACCAAAATTTAACAAACAATTGCCCCTTCCCCCTGGGAGATTTGTAGGGGAGCAATGATGCCTTCTTGGATTAGATTGCCTGTGAATAAGACAACTTTTGGCTGGTTGCTTTCCTTTTACCACAGTCTAGTGATATTCCAGACAGATGCTAAGGTTGCTTTGTTTTACTTTTGCTGGATATTCTTTAATCTTCATTCTGATAAAAACATTTTATCACCTGGGAACAAATTTTTACTTCCTAAAGATTCCATGGACAATATTCCGGCATGACGGATGAGTGGCTGAAGCTTATACAGGTGAATAACCTTGATAAAGTTGCCCAATATCTCAGAAACTCATTCTTGCTCATCTATGAAATGGAAAAGGTAATAATAATCTCAAAATACCATGATAAAGATCACCAAAATAAAAGTGTTTTGCCAATTATACCATGCTATAGGAATGTTACCTCTTAATGTTCTTGAATGTTGTTTATCTTCATGAGGTTGCCTTGAGGGAGTTACCCAACTAGGTAGCTCTTCATCCCCACTTGTACTGCATAATAGATGCCTGACTGGACCTGAATTGGTTACTCTAGATGAACCAGCCAAGCATTTCCTGAGATGCCCAAATCCTGGGAGAGCCAACTGAGGGAACACAGGACGGGAGTCACAGCCACCTGTGTATACATTGGCCCATCTCATCATTCCTCAATCTAGAATTATTAGCTATAAGCATTACATTCAGGAGACCGTAGGAGTAAGAAACTGGCATTATTTAATATATACCAATCAAGTAGTATATATTTTTCCTGTGCTCATTTCCAGTGGGACATTATCTGTTTTGTTCCTAAGCATGGGTAAGGATCTGGAACAACCCTAGCCAAAAAAGATAATAATAACCAAGAAAGAAAGAGAAAGGGAGAAAAGGAGAAGAGGGAGACAGGAAGAGAAGGAGGGAGAGAAAAGGGGAGAAGGACAGAGGGAGGGGAAAAGAGAGGTTGAAAGAGAGAGCAAAGTAAATTTTGGAAGAGGAAAGAATAGGGAAAGAGAAGAGCCAATCCCTGCAAAGTCACAAGCAGGTACACAAACTGTATACTTGGAAGCTTATATAGAAGTATATAAATCAGCTATCAGTCATGTTCAGAAAACAAAGACACTCAAGGTCAGTAATTTTCATACAATTATATTGATGGCACTTTAAAACAGAGAAGTGTTAAGAAATAAGCAATACCCTTACGGTATAAGTGTTAGAGATCTTCTGAATGGAGGTTCAAGAGACTAATATATCTAAATTTTTAACAGCCAGAAATTAGGTAAGGCTTGGAAAGAAAAAAATGATTGTTATATTTTATCATGTACTTGCATGATCTTTTATGCCATCTTTCTTCTATACTGAGGTGTTATCTTTTAAAAAAATTGTTCAAAAAATAAAAAAATAAAAAATAAAAAAATTTGTTCATAACTCTCTATTCTCTTAGCTCTAAACTCATTATCACCACAGCACTTACATATGCTAGCCAAGCTTAGAGCTGTGGTATACAATGCTAAATACATCATTCATTTTCAATGAATAACTGTTTAAAATCAACAGAATATAGAAATATCAACATAATGGAAATTTCTGTGTAACACATGGATTTTAAAATCTTGGCCTGGCAAAATTTGATAATTGGAACATAGTTTCAACAGAATGAAGACATGTGGATATATATATTTCTTGGAAACAATTGAATGTGCAACATATATATTTTTTTAGGTATTATGCTTATTAGGCTTATGTTGTGTACTACCCAAATGATTGGTTTAAATTTCATAAAACAATTTAATATTGGAAGGTGAAAGTAATCTTTTCTTTCCCTTTTATAACTAATAATTCTTGAAACTAGTTTGCATGTATGGACAGCCCTAGTCATAGAGTTACCCATGAAAAGATATGATACAACTTGAGAAAGGAAATTCCCATCATGCTTTGTTCAGTTAGTACTAAGAGTATTGAAGAGTTTCCCCCACTCTAATCCCTACAGTAGTGCTGGTAAAGAATTGGTAAAGTTAGCATGCCTACAAACTTCTAGCATTTAGCTGAAAGCAAATTACATTTTTGCTATATGAAGATTTTGGTGAAACAGTATAAAGTATTTCAGTGGCACCCAGTTTCTAGAGCCTCTTGGGTTAATAACATGTATCTTAAAAATTTACTTTATTTAATTAATTTATTTGATAGAGAAAGCACATGTATGCACACACATGCGAGCAGGGGAAGGAGGAGAGGGAGAAGGAGAGAACTGCAAGCAGACTCTACACTAAGTGCAGAATGAAGGGCTTAATCTCAAGACCATGAGATCACGACGCTAGCCAAAACTAAGAGTCAGATGATTAACCTACTGAACCACCCATGCACCCCAGTAACATGCATTTTAAAGCCTTTCAAAATAATAATAGACATTTTATGCGATAGATTACAATGGGATCTTAAAGCCTGCCTGATCTATTTGGTTAATATAAAGAATATTTGCAAAATAAAAGCAACTCACTTTCTTTAGAAAGAATTTCTGTTAGCTTATTTATACCCAATACATCCTTAATTATTAATGTAAGCCAAGCCGTTAATGTACCAAGTTGATCACCCATTAACTCAAAATAAGCAATTAAAATAAGTCAAGTTCATAATCCAATATACCTAGAATTAAAATGTATGGCAGAAATATATGGGAAGAGACATAGCTTTAACCTGTAAAATTTGGTCTGTTTCAATGGCAAAGCTTCTAAAACTAGTTTATTTCACAGGCAGGCTAATAAGTAGGTGACTATAATCAGCAGGATATGTTAACTGATATCATATGATACACAAAACTCAACCTCCAATATTACCTTTGATATATTACAGCATTCGGTATGTTCTAAAACAGCTCACTTCACATTTGGATGCTCATCAAGTTCTCTGAACTTTACCTAGTACTTAAATGTGGCCTTTAACCATGACTTACATACATATTTCAAAATTTACTCTCTGCCTTGTTATGCTCTCTGTGGTAACAACTGCTCATTTGTGCTGACTTATATTCAATACTTGGTCTATGATGGCTAATATTTCCTTATCTATCCAAAAGAAACACAATTATTCATTATATTTGTATATATTTCATTAGAACACTCACTGAATTTCTAAAATTTTAAGATAAGATTATATTCTAGACTTTCATTTCCGTTCCTGATCTCAATTGCCAAGAAGCCTCAACTTGCATTTTTCTCTACCACATTCCTTGGCCCTTCATCCACACTTCTTATAAATGCAACTCTTTCTTATGAAAGAGAATTATAATACGGGACACTATAACTTGGCTTGGATCCTGCCACCACCAAAAGATGCATTATGTACTTCAGGTTTATGATACCATTAACTTTCAGCCATTCAAGCATTGCAATGAAAAATGAAGTCCGCCATGCAATCTATAGCCTCAATCTCATCTGCAGACCCCCACAGCTGTCTAATCACTTTACACCTCCACCTGGTCCTAATGACATCCCAGACTTAAATATCTGAAACTGACCTCCTGTCTCTTTGGTACCCCTGTCCCACTTTCTGTCTCCCACACCTCAGTGAATGGCACCACAAGAGACCTGTTTGTTGCATTCCATGAAAATAGGGCAGAATCACCCAAATTTTCTGACAGTCAGCAGTCCCAACTGCTTATAACTGTACAAAAATCTCTTGACTCTCCCTTCAACCCTATCTTTCTTGCTACAGCTTCTCAATTCAGGTCCTCCTCACCTCTGCTAAATTCCGGTTAGTCTCTCCATAGCTGACAGAGTGAATTATTAATATGGAAATCTGCGTATATCACTTCCTCTATTGATCCTT